ACTTGATTGGGACACCAAAACCGCTAAAACTGAAACCAGCCAATTCCGATCTAACCGAGCAGTTACCTGTTAGCCTTAGGGGGTACACTTTTCCCACTCTTAAAGAAAGCAAAAAATAAATAATTAATTAACCAAAGAATTGCTTGCTATGAGCTTATTGTGCATTCACTTTGCTATCTATGACGACTTTTTGTGCCTCAAATGTCCGAGATGTAACTTCTCAACCAAAGGACCAACCGTAAAGAAAAAGAAATAAAAAAGACAGAAATCGTTAAAAAATTTAATATCTGAAGATGACAAAGAGTCACTAATTTTGGACGATTAAATTTAAGTGGGAAAATCCCTGACAAAATTATTAGTAAGGGCTCTAAAATATCCATTTTATTTATATTTTATTTGTGTACTTTCTCAAAAAATAGTTTTAAAATTATCTAAATTATTCTTGTTTAAGATTAGGAACCCTAAAAAAAATATGGGTATTTCAGTAATTTATCATTTTGGGCAAACAAAAGCTCTTGTCATTTGGTTGGGGCTTTTTAGATTACTAACATCTCCCTTCTTGTTCCTAAATAGGGACCATTTAGGTATTTTAAAGGTATTTTTGAGGAGGCACCAAAGTAAAATGAAAATTAAAAATTGTACCCTTTAATGTTAATAGAAATCTTTCCGTCCCTTTAGTATTTAGCAAGAAGGTATGATATAAGGGAAAAATTTATATAAGGGTGAAGCTCTAAACAATACCTCAAAAATTTAGTTAGAAAATGTTGTTTAGATGTTGAAAAAACCCTCAATCTGATCATCTCGACCTCAAGATGTATGGACATGACAAAAAATAGATTTTAAATTTTCGTAAAAGTGCATCTTACAATATACTATCTATACCATTAATTTTTTAAGATTTTTAAGTATTCATTGATCTGATCAATTTGCATTATTTTTTAACTTTATATTTTATGATTAAAAATTTAGCTTCATATTTTATAATTAAAGATTTAAATAAATTTGGAGGCCATCCTAAACATAAAGATTTATGATGTTGAAATAACATATTTCGACATTAATTGAAGGTGCACCCTACTTTGATTGTTTAGGCCTCGTACTTATATAAACCACACCATGTCGGTATTCAACAAATTCAAAATCTAATTTAGTTTATATGATACTAGGGATTCTAAAATGGAAGCAATCCGTAGACATAGGGAGTACACATTTGTATTTCACTATGTCTTCGTCATGTATTATTGTAGTTATGGAACTCGGCTCCTTTTTATTAAGGGTGCGGGTTTGTATAGAGCCTGGGCTTTAAATAATCAAATTAGAACCTATCTTCAAATAGTATCGTAAAATGTGGATTCAATCTCAAAAATCTTTGTAATAGCATTAAAGTATATTTTTATCTTTATTTAAAGCTTAAAAAATAATATAGATCGACGTGTTTATGAAAACTTGAAAATCTTGAAAATTGAAAGTGTAAAAAATGCCTTATGAAATAGACTATTTTTAATACTTGAAATCCATTTGTTTTCTCTTGTTAATGCATCTTGATGTCGAGATAATCAAACTGAGATATTTGAGCATTAAAACAACCTCTTATAGTGAGATTTTTGAGGTAGGCTCAAATTTATTGTTTAGAGCCTCGGCTCTATATAAACTTTTCCCTTTTATTAATGAAATTTATGGTGAAGGATATTTTTTTATTAAGGAAATTTAGTGTGAACGAGCCCAAAAAAGGTCATAACGATAAATAGAACTTTTTGCCAAGCCAGGAAGTATGGAGTGTGATCCGCGGGACTACTTTATACTCGAAAAAAGCTAGCCCAATGGCCTACAGTCAACTTCCCATTCCACAGAAGTTAGTGGGAGAGTATGCTCCTGCAGGAGCACAATCTAATTGCATTCATATTGTGACCGCAGTAAAGTCCACACGGAAGCATAATGCCTCGATGAAGTCGCGTGACGGAAATATGACATCATCCGCCGTGACAACGGACGGCTAACTGACGCCGTCTGGCGGCCGTCCGAGGCATCACCGTCAGCCCCTGGAGCAGGCCCTAGACCTGACACCCACATGGGAGCCGTAAAATTTTGCCAAGTGTCAAACCGGTTGCCGGTTGCCGGAAAACGACTGCCGGTATCGCCGGTTGCGTGCGCCTGAGAAACGGTCGAGTGGTGGGCCCCGCTACTGCTGTTACCGGCGCGTGGCCGCGGGGATAAAATTTCACCAATGCCCCTTCGGCTTGTCCTTTGGCGTAGTGAAAGATCGACCGTCCATCTGGATGAATCTGAAAATCAAGGATCAATCGTCCATCTGTACTGCATCTGGAAATCAAGGCCAGGTGGGCCCATCTGCAAATGTACGGCATCACGTGGGGCAGAGTAATGTGTCTCGAACGTAAATAGGTCCGAAACTTTGGACTTAATTTCGGGGCGAAATCGAGCGAAAGTGAAGTGATTTTGGCCAAATATGGAGAATATAAACTCAGATTCTTCCACACGTCTGCAACGTCCACTGAAATGACGTAATCACACGCATGTGAATGCTTAGTATACACACATTCCTTGCAATGTCTAAACAGCGCTATTTGTACCCCACACTAATCTCAGAAACGATGATTATTAGAGGGAGAGAGGGTAAAGAAAAACTTTTCCTTTCATTTATCGTTTCCATCTTATACACAAGTAGGGTTTTAGACAAGGACACCGTTTCTATGAGTCCCTCGACTTGCGAGCTCTCTTAATAATTATTTTTTAAATAAAATTTTGAACTTCGTTTTAAGGAATATACAATTCTTAAGTCCCTCATTAATGTGTAGAAGAAAAAAAAATTAAAACTAAACATCATATCTTTTTTTTAGAAAGAAAAATTTGAGCCATGGATTTTACCTGTTTTTTTTTTTAGAAAAGTTTATATAAAGCCAAGGTTCTAAACAATCAAATTAGAACCTACTTAAAAAATTTCACTAGAAGAGGCTGTTTTGATATCCCAAATATCTTCAAATTGATCATCTCGATAACAAGATACATGGTAGATTTTAAGTTTTGAAAATAGTGTATTTTATGATGCGTTTTTGGACCATCAATTTTTCAAAATTTCAAGTTTTCATAGATTTGTCGATCTATACTATTTTTTATGCTTTAAACTTTATAAATAAAGATAAAAATATATTTTAAAGTTATTACAAAAAATTTCAATATTGAAACCATATTTCTTGAAACTAGTTGAAGGTAAGCTCTAATTTGATTATTTAGAGCCAATGCAAACCGCACCCTTTCTTTTGAGGGACCATCACTTAAATCCATAAACAAATTTTCTTTGAGAAAAAAAAAAAAAAAAAAAATAAATACGGCCTGTGAAACCAGCCGATTTATATGGATCAGCTAATTTGACAATAAAAAAAATAATAGAACATAAAAGATAATGGAATTCAAGCAATTTAAAAGATCTTAAAAACCAGATCAGCCACCCACCAGCTCCGATGCGAATCAGAACCGAGTACAAGTATAATAGAGAAACAGGGGTCCACATTGTATCTAAGAGAGCATCACAGAAGAGGGACTTCAGCTTCATTCAGTTATACGAATCCGAACGTCGAGCCGTCCATCCCTAGAGAACCGAGAACACTCTGTTCAGCACGTGCAATAGCCACTCGATCCCCATACATGTACGATAATTGAGAATTAAACAGACAGCCGCGATTATTTCTACGGAGACATGCCATAAACTTGAACGGATGGCTACGATTCTCCAAAGCAAGTCCCCACAATAACGTCGTCTGTAACGTGCCGCCGATACACATGTAAAAATTCCAGAAAATTGAAGCCGAGTTGATACGCAGCCGAGCCGATTCGGTGGGCTTTTGGCGCGCAGCCGGGAACGGCAAAAGGGGCCAGTGCCGGTGATCAGTTGCCGCACGAACCAATCGACATGCACCACGTGTCACACTTCACGCCAACGGCGCTCACCACCTGCCACGCGATGTCTCGATGACGACGTCAAGTTCTGCACATGCGAAGCGTCAATCCGTCGGAAAGAGGCGTCAAAAGGAAAATGGGTGTGAGGAACAAATATTGAGAGAGAGAAAGCAGGCCACTCTGCCGATGAGTGGCGTCGGGCCGGCAGTATTTCAACGCCAACGCGTCGTTTCTCTCGCTAAAAAATAATACACGTTCGCCAGTTTTCTCTCTTCTGCTTACCTTCCCGGCCGGAAGAGTAAGAACACGGGTGGTTTTCTGGTAGCCAAGATCTCAACTCTTGGTCACCGAGCATCATTTCCGGCCAACCAGCTGGTATTCCGGCAACAATGTCCCATTTTACTTCCAAAAATAGGAAGCGCACTGATTTCCCGGCGAAGAGGTCCCATTTTCCGGCCAAATTCAGAAACCCGCATATGTTACGGCGACGAGGGTCTCACTTTCAGGGGAAGAAATAGAAACCCCTTAATTTTCGGGCACCGAAGGTCCCATTTTCCGGCCAACCTACTGATTTTTCCGGCTACTAAGGTCCTGTTTTTCTGGCTTCCCAAGTCTGGTTTTTGACACGAAGAACCCATTCTCTGGCCAAAACTCAGGAACTTGTTGCTTTCCCGGGGGCGAAGTTCCCATGTTCCGGCCAGAAAATTACTGACCCTTCCATTTTCTGGTGAACAATCCAAAGAGAATCACCGGCGAAGCATCTGATCAGATTCAGAGCCCCAATAGAACCCCAAAGTAAACAAGGAAAATAACAGAATAAGAGTTTATATTTTCCCCTCTCTACGCCCATAAACCTTACAAAAGTGAAAGAAAGAGCCCAAACTCCTCTTCCATGGGGGTGGCGCCTCCTCCTACTCCCACAAACGAGGCAGACGCGCAGCCGTTACAAGCAGCTTCGGGTCCGCCAACAGCAGTGGCAATCGCTTCAATTAACCATGCCTCGGCCAACGGTGGCAGCAGCCGCACCATCACATCGGCAACGCCTATCCCAACGGCCATACTGGCCGCACCGCCGCCACATACCCTCACCCTGGCGCTGCCCATCCAGCAGCAGCCTCACACTCGCTCCGGCAGAGAAGACTGTTGGAGTGAGGGTGCCACGGCCACCTTGATCGATGCTTGGGGGGAGCGATACATCGAACTGAACCGAGGGAATTTGAAGCAAAAGCATTGGAAGGATGTTGCAGCGGCGGTGAGTTGCAGGGAAGATTGCACAAAAACACCCAAGACCGACGTCCAGTGCAAGAACCGGCTCGACACTCTGAAGAAGAAGTATAAGATTGAGAAGGCAAAGATTCTGAATGGAGCCACTTCAAGCAAATGGCCCTTCTTTCACCGTTTAGATCAACTCATTGGTCCCTCCAAGAAACACTCTGCCATTGCTAATGCTGCTGCCATTACGAATGCCCCTTCTCTTAATACTGGTCCAATGACGATGGGGCCCGAGGTTGAGATCCAACAGCACGGCTCGTCGGATGGGTCGACGGACAGCTACCCACCGGAGATCACCGGGAGGAAGCGGAAGGCCCCCGAGGGCATGTTCCATAAGACTCCAGAAGGCGGGGCCGCAGCGCTGCGGGAGCTGACGAGGGCGATCGTGAAGTTTGGGGAGGTTTACGAGAGGGTAGAGGGGTTGAAGCTTCAGCAGATGGTGGAGATGGAGAGGCAGAGGATGGGTTTGGTGAAGGACTTGGAGTTGCAGAGAATGCATTTATTTGCCAAAGCGCAGGTGGAGCTTGAGCAGATGAAGAGGGGGGGGAGACACAGCAGGGGGACCACCAATGGCATGGGGAACCATCACCATAGTAACAACAATAACAACACAGGTTAGTCAGCTTCAGGTCTCTCTCTCTCTCTAAATTGTATTTAGAGAGAGAGAGACTGTGGACGGGTTTAGGTTTGTAGTGCCCCATAAATTGTAGAGAGGGAATTAGTTTGTTAGTGTGTCCCTTTGTAGAGAGAGAGAGAGAGAGAGAGAGAGAGGAGAGTGATCATTGGGATCAGGGTTTGATCATGTATGTGTTGTATGAATTAATTTATGCCCAACCAGAACATAGATGTGCTGCTATCAAAGGGCTCATATGCACGTTAGTGTACCCAAAATTGCCTTTTGTCATCAGTCTTCCTCTCTGTGCAACCTCTAGTAATTCACGTCTAACTCTCTCCCAGCAATCAAAATTAGGGGTTTGTTGGTTTATGCACGTCCGGATTTGCCTCCGCATTCCGGCTTCTTCAAGTTCTCGTATCAGAGTAAAAAAAGGTAGAGAAAAAAGAGATCACTTTTCCTCTTTCTAGCAAAATTTCTCTGTTTTTTAATCTGGTGCAATAAGTTTCTTTATTTTTTTTATCGAGAATGCAAGGGTGGGCGCATGGTAGGGCTGGCAAATGGCCGGGCCCTAGTCTAGCCCGAGGCTCCATAGGACCAGCTCTAAACAAGCCCTGGCTAGGACTATGCCCTATCAAGGCAAGCTGGGCAGAATACAAATAAAACAAGAAAAAGAGAGTCTGACCGAGCCAAAACCAGACCTTCCATGGCCCAGGCCTACCCTCATTTTGTAGTCCAAGTCCTAATTTTTCAGGGCTAGGCTGACCGACATGGGCGGGCCGATTGCCACCCCAGTACACGTGCCGTTATAACAAAATCTGGCCAATCGAACGCTTGAATATAGTAATAACTAGGGGTGCTGGGTTAGTAGGTTTATTATACATTAAAGGAAAAAGTAAAAGGTTGCAAGCTAAAAATGTAGAACTACGGTTACAACTCAAAAATCCGCCGGAAAAAATTGTATTAATATTGAAAAACCCTCTAATTGATCATTTAATATTGAAAAACCTTCTAGTCGATAATCTTTGACATCAAGATGAATGACTATAAAAAAAAAAAAAAAATTGATTCTATCTTACAATGTCCATTTTCAAGATTTTCATATATTTATAAACCTACTTGATTTTAATTATTTTTGAAGTTTAAAATTTTATAATTAAATATGAAAATAGATTTTGAGATAATCTTTGAGAATATTTTAAATCAAAATTATATGTTATGATAAAAATTAAAGGTGCACCTTAAATGGATTGTTTATGGTTAAGCCACACCCTTAAAATACATTAAAAAGTAGGACAACGTTAAAAAGAAAGTGCTCGTCAACAACCTGCCGGAATTATATAGAAACCTCTGCAGAAAACACTGGACTTGTTTAGATGTGGACTGTTGATCGAGATAATTAGTTGCAAAGTACGCACAATTTTTAGAGCTTGAAAAATCTTTATTTCTTCAATAGGCATAATTCTCCAGATTCAAATGATCAAGTTAAAAGTTCTCCGGCACAATAACAAACATTTTCCAGCTAGGATTTGTGTGCGATTTTAATATTTTTCATAAAGCCTTGCAAACTTTTTCCACATCACCTAAAAATAAAAAGTGATTCAAGTCATTGTTGTCAGGGTCTCTCAGAACTTTCCCAGTCCTTTGTTGATTACAAAAAATGGTAGGGCTTACAAATTACAAATCACGCCTAAACCCAAAACATAAACACCCCCATGCCAAGCACTCCAGAAAAAAAAAGAAAAAAAGAAAAACAGAAAACACACCCAACACTAAATTCCTGAACTTTTACTATGTTTGGGTTAACAAATGGAGTAACCTCTCCACCAAAATAGAAGAAGAAAGAACAATAACCATGTGACATCTATATTTTTATAATAGATTACAAAGGAAGAGAGATTTTTTGGGTGAGAGGCCATTACGTTTAATTAATTAGACCAGACATGTATCAGGCCTTGCTTGTTACCGGTGTAAATCTCATTCCTATCCTCATCGTAAAAGAGGGCGGTAACATCTTCTAAGGCCTCCCGCACGGTGCTTCGGATCTTTGATCTACCCTCCATCCTGGGCCTCACCTGAAGGGCGGGATCAGATGCACAAATCTTTGAAATGCACTTCCCTGTCAAGATGTTACTCATGTTGATAGACCCCACTGCTGAAAGTGCAAAAGATTGGAGTTATTTCTACGAGAATACAGCATGGTAGCACAAACATGGACAACTCTCTCTCTCTCTCTCTCTCTCATGCATGCACTCGCGCACACACTGGGTATGAGAAGCACAGCATGGAAACACAAACATAGACCTCTTTCTTTGAAATAACAAGTGTGATACTTACTAATGATAATATCACACAGTAAACACTCTCCATTAGCCAACTCTCCTAATACTGCTATCTTTATTTCTCAAAATTAACTTATATACTTTTATGTTAAACTCCAAGTAACTTTGGCCCATTTTATGATTTGATCAGATCCAGTCAACTTCAAATAGAACCAATTTAAACCACATGGCATTTATGGTCTCTTTCTATTTCAAAATTAATTAAACTACCATTCATTATCTTCAAACAAAATTAACTATGGGGCAAATGAGAGAGAATTAGTAAAATCTATGAATAATGAGAAGTAATTTGTCAATATCTGTTAGTGGATGTTTCTATCTCTATGTTCATGTATATGTGCTTTGTGACAAAAACTGGTTAAGATTTATACCACTAACTGGGTAAGATTATACTAAAACATACCGTCTCCCTCGCACTCTGATTCCTCCGCTTTACAGTAGGAGATAATCAAGTCCTGGTCGCTGGTGATATATATGTTATTTGTGTTACAGTCGCGGTGCCATAACAAATGATCTTCAAATGAGGTGACCAGCTCCCCACGGAAGTTCCAAACTGCTACTGTTCTGTTCCGGAATGTCAAGAAGAGGTGGTTCTCATAAAGAAAAATGAAGGCAGATGGCGTCATAAACTCTGTGCGGCTCACTTCTATAAGCTCCGAATTGCGCACCTGCTCAAACAGTTAAAGAAGCTTATGCAAAATAAATGATTGGAGAGAGAGAGAGAGAGAGAGAGAGAGAGAGTGTGTGGTTAGGGCACTACATACGAGTAGTTGACGTAGTTCTCGTTCTCTTCGTTACACGAGTACGTCTTTACTAATTAACGTCGTCTACGTAAGTAGTACG